TACAATGCTCAATGCATATATTATAATATGCAGGGCAGTAATATTGAAAGTATAGCCTAGAGAAAGTGGAGATTTTGAATTTCACTCTACAGGCTGTTTCATTCTTGTGTAATCATTAGGGGTGAATGGATACAAGAATTTTAGGTGTATAGGTATGGGAGGCAGGTGTATATAAACAATGCAGGCACAACAAGTTTATCCTTCAAAACAATTAGACCAATCAAACATTGTAATTGCATATACACCTGCCTACCAATATACATCTACTGTACAATTCCTGTATTCTTTTACTCTTGACTGTAGAGTGGAATTTTGAATGTTTGTATACTTTCAATACATGTGCTTGTTACTTAGAGCTGCTCGCTCACGAACGTTGTTGCACTTGCATGAATTATAATTTACTGGGCTCCGTATGAATAGACTTTAAAAATGATGATACACATTGACAGCTATATGGCAAGCTTATTTTCGTTGCGTTGAAGAATTGATTATTTAATTCTAAGCCAACGAAAAACACAACGGGTCGTGAGCGAACCAGCATGTAGGGGTAGGTAATCGATAAGTGAATGAAACACTTAGGCAAGATGCAAACGTAGGTAACTTGCATTTTACAGAGTCGTTGTACATTCTCATGTCCGGACTTTGGTCTGAATATGAGACTAGCAACTCTCGGCAGAAGGAGCAAGAATCGACAGGGCCACTCCGTGTAGATTCTTGCCACGATACAAACAGTCTTTCGCATGTGTACTGTTATTAATGGTTACGATCCTACAGAGTGTTGGTACTTAGTGAACGAAATTTTATCAGCAAGCATGGCTGTGCCTCAAATGAATGATTCGTGCATGTAATTATAAAACCAAACAATAAAAAAAGATCCAGAACAAAAAGTATAAGGAGAACATTGATTCCTAAAAATGGTATAATGTGGAACATGAAAAATCTGAGAAAATATCATGAATTAAGCAAATCATTTTGAGAATATGAAACCATTTTATATTGTCCCATTTATTTTGATGTAATAATGTGGTTCAATTGTGTAGCATAATCTAAGCACAAAAGAAAAGTAAACATATAAATTAGGGCTTGATCTAGCCAAAAAAATTTAAAAATAAAAAAACAACAAAACAACCCCTTAGCTGTGCATTTGGCTGAGAAGTAATATTTCTGCTTCTTTCGCTGAAGACCCCCGGTTATAACCCAGCCATTCAATTGTTAAGTTCTTTTATTAGAGTTGGATCGCCCTGATGGGATAGGGGACAGTGTATTTGTTAATACATGTTGGTATTGCCGCTGCTCTGCAGTAGCCACTGGTCCCCAGTGGCCCAGCCAAAATTTCTAATTTCAAGTATGTGGAATTTTACAAAAAGAGAAATTTAAGCTATTTCAATTTAATTAATATTGGTTAATGCTCCTTCATCCTCAAGTCGGCATCCATGTTAAAAATTGGTAGATTCAAGGAGTGTGTGTACTTTACTGTGTAATTTTCCCCTGGATGCTTCACTGAAAACAGATTTATAACTTATATTAGCATTAGGATATTTAGGAATGTGTACTTGTTATTAATTTTTATGTATCTGTTGTAGTTGTATTTTATGATGTGGTTGTATTCTATTATGCATGTTGTGTTGTTAACACGTTTCGTCTGGTTTGTTTGAACACAGTCACTGTATAAAGGCAAAAATATAGAGGACCAGGTGATACAAGCTAACCCTGTTATGGAAGCATTTGGCAATGCTAAGACTTGCCGTAATGACAATTCCTCACGTTTTGTAAGTAATTCTAATCCAATTACTACTTATTTCTTTCTGTTGCTATAATTTCAACTGTGCAATTTTACAAACGAAAACAATCTAGGGTCTAGAGGAGCAAGTCATCCAAACCAATCCTCCACTAGAAGCTTTCGGTAACGCCAAGACCATCCGTAATGACAACTCATCCCGATTTGTAAGTAGAATGCGTATTTACTACGCACGCCGGATGTGAAGTCTTCATTGTCGTTGTTGTGAAACTCATCTTGTGGATTGTCCTTGGCCCCCATGACCGATTTTTCTTACCCCCTCTGCGGTGTTACCACTTTGTCTCGTCGTCTTATAACATTTTCACGTTTTTTTTAACTGTATATGAAAAATTCTTTTTAACACATTGACTGTAATATGCAATTCTTTCCTGTATACCAATCCAACTACAACATATCTTGTACGTTTTATGCAAATTTTATAAAAGAATTTACCAAAAAAACATAAAGTTTTAAAAGATTTATATCTCCTTGCGCCCACTGTGACTTGAGTGTTTAATGGGTGACGTTGAGGGCAGTATATTTAATTACTAATACAAAATACTTATGTCTTCAATGAAAATGCATGTTGTGGGGCACACAGGAAAGTACTGTTAAACCGTGTTCCCACAATCAAGTTTTATGTGACATACCTGTGATTATCCATATATGGATTTTATATGACTTCATACTCATATATGGGAGTAATATGACATCATAAAATTTATATATAAGCAAATCACAGATATTTTTTACAGGAATCTTGACAGGACGTGTGGGCTTGTAGTTAACAGTCAATGTGTTATCAAGTGTAATTTTGAAAGGTTTTTCATTTATAATACGTATCTATAATTTACATTAATGTTTAATTTTTGGTACATTATATGTGATAATAGATTGATGTTATATAATTTTCTAAACGATAAAAAAAATGTTTTCATAAAGTGATTTATTTATAGTGCTGTGAATTACAATTACCTTCTACCATATTGTAGTTTCTGTTAAAATGTTGAGTCTTCTATGAAAGTGTATTGTTGTCTGCTTGTTTGCATGCTTACCAAAATATCAAAAAAGCTCTATATATTACTTAACATTTTTTATTTTCATCTGTTTTATTATTATTTTATTTATTTATTTATACATTCATTTATCTATTCATTCATGCACTCACTGGTACATACAATTATTTGTCGTCCATTCACTAATTCCTTATCTATGCATTTATATATTTATTTATTTATTTATGCATTCAGTTATCCATTAATTGATACACACACTGATACATACAATTATTTATGTATTCACTAATTCATTATTATGTATTTATATTTATACAATCATTTATCCATTCATTCACACACACACACACACACACACACCGGTACATACAATTATTTATCCATTTACTAATTCCTTATCTATGCATTTATCTATTTATACATTCATTTTTCCATTCATTCATACACACAGACCCTGGTACATACAATTTTTTATCCATTCACTTATTTCCTATATATGCATTTATTTATTTATTTATACATTCATTTATCCATCCATTCATGCATTCATTCATTTTGCTATTAATTACTTTATTCATTTAAATAATCAGTCAACCAACCATTATTTTTTTCCCATTTATTTTTACGTTAATTGTTTAACAATCATTCTATTATTCATTTGTTATTTTTGGTTACATAATTACACATTGCTAAACCTACAAAATAATTTATTTCCAAGTGTTCTGAAAAAAGTTTGTAATTAATATTTGTAATATTGTATTTGCTGTACTAATGTTAAAATGACAGGCATGTTGTTTGAAAAGTGTAAAAAGATATATATCTATGAATTATAAATTGGCATTCAAATGTAGTTACTGTATAGCAAGCAAAATTAGCAGAAATGAGCAAATGAAATGAGTAAAAACATCCCTGTTAGCTGAAGCAGGAAAAATGCAAATGCTGATAAATTGAATGCACTGCACTCATGTTAATGTGATTCATTGTGTGGCAACAATGATCCAATCAAATATAAATATTAGAAACCATTTATTTTATACTTGCTTATTTGTAAGCATGAAACAAGAGCATGCATAAATTAGATGTACCGCAAGCTATGAAAATTTGCAATAATTAGCGCTTTAAAATTTCATTTTTTAATATCAACATACAGAAGTATGTTATTTGTAAGTATGTTTGCAAATTATACTCACTTCTATATTCTGTTTTTCAAACTCACAGGGTAAATTCATCCGTATCCACTTTGGTGGTAATGGCAAATTAGCTGGTGCTGATATTGAAACCTGTAAGTCAGTCAGTCAGTCAATCAATCAATCAATCAATCAATCAATCAATCAATCAATCAATCAATCAATCAATCAATCAATCAATCAATCAATTAATCAATCAATCATTCAGTCAACCAATCAATCAGTTAATCATTCAATTAATCAGTTAATCAATCAATCAGTTAACCAATCAATCAATTAATCAATTAATCATTCAGTCAACCAATCAATCAGTTAATCATTCAATTAATCAGTTAATCAATCAGTCAGTTAACCAATCAATCAATTAATCAATTAGACAATCAATCAGTTAATTAATCATTCAATCAATACACACATTGAACGACACCAGACTAGTAATTATTACATAAAATTTAGATCTATCTCATTTTCATGCTACAGCACTTATGTCCAGTGCAAGATCATCTTTAATATCTGTACTCATTAGCCCCATATATTAAACAGTTTATATAGGCACACACAACAATTAAGCAAAGTATTCTTTGTCTTTTCCTTATATTTGCAAAATTTTTATGATTATCATGTATTAAAGAATGTAATTTTGACTTGTAGATCTGCTTGAAAAGTCCCGTGTTGTCACTCAGCTTGCAGGAGAAAGAGCGTACCATATCTTCTACCAAATCTTGTCTGGCGGAATTGATGGACTTCTGGGTAATTATTTTTTCCAATCCAAACTATAATCAGACTGGGCTTAGGCAGTGGCATATCTAAGGGGTGCACACCTTCCGGAAAAGCTTGTACCCCCTCCCCCACAATTGCACCCCCACTGGAAATGTTGAAAGCAAGAAAAGCTATGTTCAAGTAGTTAAAAATCCTGTAGCCAGCTTTCCCCCACTTAACAGTTAATGTTTTATCAAGTTTATATGTGAAAGGTCTTTCATTTATATTAAATATCTATATTATTTTAATGTGTAATTTTTGGTACATTATATGTAATAATAGATTGAAAATGTAATGTTGTTTGCATGTTTGCGATCTGTGATAGCTATATCTCATGGTATTGCACTTCTGTGCGATGCTAAAGCATCATAATTTCTGTCTAGCGTCATGTCGGTTTATATAGGCAAAATCTTTTCGATGATCAATAATTATTTTCATTGAACCTCCAAGCCCCCACTTAATGATCTAGCCCCACTTCACCATCGTGTTCTTCTTCCCCCCCCCCCTCCTTCATTTTACAAGCTCCATTGGGCTTAGGTCCTCCATGCAGTAAAGAAACTCAAATAAACAAATGGGTAGTGTTTACTTATGGCTGCCTACAATTGATTGTTTCAATGTATATTTTCTTTGCAGAGAAACTTGCTCTCACTGGAAGACCTGAAGACTACAACTTCACTTCTCAAGGTGTCACAACTATTGACAACGTTGATGATAGACAGGAGATGGTCGATACTGATGTGAGTCCTTTTTATACTGCAATATTGTTGGGTCATTAGTACCCTGTTTTGTCAACATAAATTTTTTTTATCATCATCTTTTTTTTTATTCCTTTTTCCGTTCGATTTCAATTTATCCAGCACTGTAATGCCAGAAATGCATTATTAAAGTGTGATATTAAATGCATATGAAATATATTAATATAACCAGCAGAAAATTGTACCTTGTGATGAAGACTTGTCAACTCTACCTCAAGCTTGCTAAATATTCTAAGCCTCTGGCTGTCTCAGAAGCCTGCCATTAGTGTTTAGTTGGAAGATTGCAGACAGGACACAAGCCAATTAGACCCTGTGGCAATCTTTCTTGAAGCAAGTTTTTTCTTTTCTTCATCTTCACTATTTTCATCACTACTGCTATGTCTATAATCTAAAGTTATTGTCCATTTTTATTATCTGTAACAGAAAGCCTTGGATGTATTGGGCTTCCCAACTGACGATAAGATGAGCATGTGGAAGTTGTGTGCTGCCATCCTTCACTTCGGTAACTCCAAATGGAAGCAAAGACCAAGGGAAGAGCAGGCTGAAGCTGATGGAACTGAACGTAAGTATCCAACGGAAGCGGACAGTTTTAACTGATAAAGCATAACACCATTTATCAAAAAGCTAAAAAAGAAAATGGTGAATTTCAAAATCTTGGAAATCTGTTCTCAGCTTTTATTCTGCAAAGTATTTTATATATTATTTGTTTTAATGTACCTTTCCACTAAAGCCAGGCCAATTTATATTTTTGCTAATAATATATATTTTTGTATTTAATATTTTTGTATTTAATATATTTTTGCAGACCCATTTCTGGTTTGCTCAGTTTTTGATTCCTTAAAGGTTCATTTAAGTCATATTTAAAATAAAAGTTAAAAGAGGTGTAAGTGCAGGTGATGGAATATTTTTTTTTTTAACATAAAAATATATATTTATTACAATTATTTGTCATTGTAAAATTACAATGTTTTGGTCTTGATTATTTGTAGCTATTGATGCTGTCGCCTACCTGCTTGGTCTGAACCCACAGGACTTGATGAAGAACTTGTTGAAACCTAGAATCAAGGTCGGCACAGAGTATGTCCAACAAGGCCGAACCAAGGAACAGGTACGTGGATAACTGAAAGACTTCCCAAAAATAATAAATAATAAAATAAAATGGACAAGTTTATTATTTTTTGAAAGACTTCAAAAAAATAATAAACTTGTCCATTCAGTTGCACCAGATGTATTCATACAGTTTACCACCTTGCGGTGTGGCACAGTGGTTGCGGTTCTATTTCTCAACCTTGAAGTCGGAGGTTCAATCACTTGCTGTGTATCTTGCTTGCGTCCTTAGGCAAGGTACTTTACCTACTGTTGTCTCTCTCCAACCAGGAGTACCAGTGGGTACTTGGTAGGTTCAAACACAAAAATGCACTGGTTGTGGGGTTCTTCCAAAGGGGCCTGAGTGTGTGTTCCATTTATGTGCTTGATCCATGGTAATAATGCTCTGAGCTCATAGAGGTCTCTGCAATATGAGTCAACAACTATATCCCCATGTTTTTTCAAACCAACGTAATTTATGTTTCATTCTTCTGAAAGTAAATACTGTATTTATGATATTTACAAATATTCTTCCAAAGAAAGCAGTTTCAATCATTCCTCAAATTTCAATTATGAATGGCACACAAAAATATATGCTTCACATAAAATATGTCATAATATTGATTTTTCTTGAATCCTTCCAATAGGTCGCTTACTCCGTCAACGCCCTTTCCAAAGCCATTTACAACAAGCTTTTTGGGTGGTTGGTTGCCAATGTCAACAAAACTCTTGACACAAAGGCCACCAAAGCTTTCTTCATTGGTGTACTGGACATTGCTGGATTTGAGATCTTTGATGTAAGTATCTAAAGATGCCTATGTTTGAATGAGTAGTGTAGCACTATATAAGATTTATTATAATTATTATTTTTAATATTTGAGCTGACCTTCTTGGGAATGGAGCTGTGAAAAAATTTCTAGTTAAGAAACTTTCCTTCAAATCCCAGGCTCTTGGATTCTAATCCTGTGATACCAGAATTTTTTCATCACAACTAAAAGGAACTCTAGTCCCTAAGCCTCATAAAGAGACTAGTCTACAGGGGTCCTAAGTCTCTCGGAAATCAGGACGGCCTCACGCAAGCAAGGATCTGCCGGAAATTAACCGATCTCCGCAAATTAATAATTGCATGTTTTCACTGCTTTATTATATATTTTTCTCATCGAAGTCAGTGTCGAATTGTATCACTATGCATAAAATATAATGAAATTCATTAACCAGATTTAGTAGCAAATTGAAGGGAAGGTGAAGCTGGCCCAGGCCCCCTAAATATTTCAAAATTATGAAAAAATTGGGGTAGAAAGAAAAATCATATTCAGCTTTAAGTGTGAGAGGGCCATTTCCGGCCATCTAGAGGTGCCATAATCATAGATATCTTATCCAAACTCCAACCATGGTGGCTGATGTGGTCTAGACCATACATCTACGAAAGTCAATCCCTCTCCCAGATCTCCCAGAAATGGTTTCTTCCAATTTGGAACCCCTGAGTTTATAAAGCACTGCTCCATCCTGTTGGATGAGAATATAAAATTGTTACTTAAAGTCAGACTCCGGAGGAAAAACATTTTTTGATGTTGTAGAACTGATTTTTCTAAAACAGAAAAAAGTTGTTTGACGAAAAAACTGGGGAACGGTGAATGAGATACAGATTTTTTAATATTTAAAAACTGGGGGAAAAGGGGCATAACTGCCCATTTTTACACCTTATTCCCCCAGTTTTTTAATATTCAAAAATCTGTATCTCATTCACATTTCCCCAGTTTTTCGTCAAACAATTTTTTTTTGTCTTAGAAAAATCAGTTCTACAAAATATCAAAAAATTGTTTTCCTCTGGAGTCTGACTTTAACTGCACAATTGTTTTGAACTTAATTACATTAAATTAAAAAATGTTTTTGATAATTTCTCTGCCTTTAGTTCAACACCTTTGAGCAGCTTTGCATCAACTTGACCAATGAGAAACTTCAGCAGTTTTTCAACCATCACATGTTCGTCCTAGAACAAGAAGAGTACAAACGTGAAGGAATTGACTGGGAGTTCATTGATTTTGGTATGGATCTTGAGAACACCATCCAGCTCATTGAGGGTGTAAGTACATCTGTTGGAACAGTATTAGTTTATATTAAATGTTTAAAAAACTTTCGTGAAAATGAAATGATAATGCAGAAAAGACTGGTGGAAAATGTGTCGAAAGTCGCTCACAAAGTTGCCATGTGTGCTGTATAAGTTGACATTTCTTATTTATAATATCAAGCAACATAAAAATCTAAAATATATAGAGAAATATTAATAATAATATTTACAGTATCATTATTATTATTGTTATTGTTGTTATTGTGTTAAAAGGTAAATGTAGGGAATTTGTTTATTGTTGACTTTATTATTGTTAACATAATCATCATTATTATTGCCATCATAAATATTATCATTATTTTTTTTATGCACATCCTTCATTGATTACAGAAAAAAACAATACAAACCAGATTACTGCATTGTACAAATGAAAACAATTATTATCATGATTATTGTTTATCGGTATACAAATAATGAATATTTATGAATGCAACGGAAAGAGTATTTTAATGAGTTGGAAGGTTGACCATTCCATTTCAACGAGGTGGAGCCGAGTTGAATGAAACAGTCAATCTTTCAACGAATAAAAATATTTTTTCCATTGTGCAAATAAACAACATATTCTTTATTTGTTTTATAACACACTAAAAATAGATTCTTGTCATTTGTTATTTTATGAAAAAAAAATCTACCTTTTTCCTAAATGACATTCTTTAAATTTGCTAATTTATAAAAAAGATCTATCTATTTTCTAAATGGAAAATTCCAGCATATTTTCAACCAATCAAAAGATTGTATTACCTAGGCACTGTGCAATAGGGGAAAAAAAACGAATTGAAAGAATGGGGTAAATAACCAAAGTCACATGATACGAAATCCACCAATCAAATAACAGGGATCTAATAATTATTATTGTTGTTATAGTATTTACTATTATTAATGATATTAATATATCAATCATTATATACCTGTCTCTTATACACATCTAGTCATTATTATGATATTAATATATTACTACCATCTAGAAAATGAGTGTGTTTGACATCCTTGAGGAAGAGTGCATGATGCCAAAGGCATCTGACAAGACATTCACGGACAAACTAATCAACAAACACAAGGGCAAACATCCCAACTTTGGAGTTCCAAGCGTCGGTGGTAAGAAGAAGGCTGGATCTGAATATCACTTTGAGATTCACCACTATGCTGGCACGGTTAGTTCCATGTTTTACTCGATTCCATCAGTATATTTTCTAAAATACAGTACAACCCCTATTAAGAGGGACAATTTCGAGTCCAGAAGAAAGTGTCAGCTTAATTATAGGGGTGTCCCCTAAAAGGGGTTGGCCGCAGTGTTAAAGGATATATTTTTCTTTCGAGACCAGAAAAAGTGTCGCCTTAATTATAGGGGTTTCCCCTAAATAGGGGTTGACCGTAGTGGTAAAGGATATATTTCTCTCACTTAACAGTCAGAAAAAGTGTCTCCTTAATAGGGGTGCCCCTTAATAGTGTGTCCCAATAGAGGGGTTCTACTGTATACTGTAGTTTAATCTTTACAATATTAAGATAAGATTACATAAAATCTTTATTTAGTAAACTAGTAATCTTTTTATTTTTATTTTAATACTTTTTTTATTGTATTGTTTTTAATTTAGCTATTACTTATTGGAAATAAATTTATGTATATTCTGTAATAATGTTTTATAATAATAACTTATCTTTCATTCTTATTCTTAAGAACCCCCAACACACCAGCAAATTATTTCCATTTAGTTGGTTCAGTACTAAAAATGACCATTAAGTTTCATTGGAATAGGGATTAATTTCCACATTCTGGGATTTAGTTCTGCATTCTCATTTTTCGCTTAATAATAGGATTAGAAAAACAATTTAAAAACACAAATTTACAAGTAATTTATTATTAAAAATACAAATTAGCCCATTTAAAACCTTGTTTATATTTGAATTAATGAAATTGAAATTGACTGAACCAACGAGCAATGTCACAAGATTTGATTCACCATCATGATAATGTCACATCACTGGATGCAATTGTCACATAAACTCAGTGTGGACAAAGCTTTTGATTTTATAAGAAAGTCATAAAACTGTCTTTTTTTTTTTACATTTGAATTGATAGGATAGGATATTTACTGAACCAAAGAGCAAATGTCACAAGATTTGAATTATCAAATATGATAATGTCACATCACTGGATATAATTGTCACATAAACCTATTGTGGACAAAGCTTAAGATTTTATAAAAGGGTCATAAAACTGTTCGTTTATATTTGAATTGATGTATGGATAGGAAATTTACTGAACCAAAGGTCAATGTTACAAGATTTCAATCATCGTCATGATAATGTCACATCACTGGATATAATTGTCGCTTAAACCTGGTGTGAACAGAGCTTAAGATTTTACAATAAAGTCATAAAACTGTGTGCTTGACTATTACTTAAATAGGTCGGTTACAACACAGACTACTGGTTGGATAAGAACAAGGATCCCCTGAATGAAGCTGTTGTAGATCTGTTCAGGAAGGGCACAGAGCCACTTCTCTCTAAGGTCTTCTCCGACATCCCAACTGGTGGTAAGTCCTTAATTTGTTTTTGTTTTTTTCTAACATATATTTCATTTTTTCAAAGGTATACTGTCTGTGATAAATAGAATTAAGGACTATTTATTGTCTTTTTGATGAAAAAAATATTTCTATTTACGAATTGCTCATTTTAAATGATCATATTTAGTCCAGACTATCAAATTTTATTTGAAAAAAAAAACCATGTAACATGGCTAAATATGGTCATGATGATGTCATCTCATGACTATATATGGGCATACAACAGTTTTTTTTGTCAAGTATTATTTGGTAATGTGGACATGGCTTTACATCATGACGATACATAGGCACATCGTAACTATATTTGGGATTACTACAGGTTTTTTTTTTCAAAGAAAACTTGATTACATGGACAGAGCTTTAAAAAAAAATAATAAAAATAATTAAAAACTGTGGGATGCAACTGGCATCAGTGAGAGTAACAGAACTTGTCTGAACTGAACTGAATAAAAACCTAATAACCTACTACAAAATATTGGAAATATTGAATTTTAAAAATTTTTGTTTTCACCGACAGTATATCTTGAAATTCATTTTTTTTTTATTCCTCTTCGATTTTGTTCCTAATTATTTACATTTTCAACTCTTCTGTTATTCTCTTGTTCTTCATTTCATTATCTTCCATATATTGTGTTTTATCATCTGTAATAATTTATTCATCACTTCTTTAAATTTCTCATTCTTTTAACATGTATACAGTGTCATGATTTGTTCTGTTAACTAAAATTCATCTATTTCTAGAGATTTATAGTAAACTTTGTTTTTCCTTTTTTTTTTACGCAAGTGATCAATATTGATGGTTTTATAAAGTTATTGGATTATCATTACGCTTCCTGTTTGTTGACCCTCTAACTTTATAAACAACTTTCTACCAATTTTTTGTTTTTAATGTATTCATGGAGTATGCCATTATAGATATATGCAAAATGCATTGAGCTATTGAACAACTAGAGTGCTGACAGGGCGATGAAGCAATGCAGAGTTGTGTATGTGCACCGTCCAAGGTGACCGCCATAGGGAAGCGCCACCTTCAAGCTTAGTATACATATTATAACCATGAATAAGCCATCTGACCAGCTCTTATTTCATTAATCATTATTATTAATAATATAAATAAATTGTTAAACTATTGTAGCCAAAAAGAGACCAAGTGGACTATCTTATTTAAAAATAAAGTACCAAGGAATGAAAATTGAAATTGTGTACATTATACCCATACACCGCAACGCTTGAGTTTCAAACAATGGGTAACTAGCTGTACTGAAATTTTTGTGTAAATTGAGGGCGCCATTGAAAATGATGGTGCTTAGGCAAATTTTGATTGGCTAAATCTATGGCAGCCATCTTGGATGGTACACGTACACAGCTCTGCGTATTTCGAACATCGAATACATTGCAGTTTGCGCTCTGGTATTCTTTATTATAACTCTATGGCAAAATGTTATTACATTTTGGTTAACTCCTCCTTGCAATAGCCAAGGTGGCGAAGTACTGTTTTATGGGGACGGTTCCATCAATACAAGCTGAAACTCCAAGTGGGACACCACAGCCCTCAGGTAGTATTGTGCACCAGATGGAATGCACTTGAAGTTGCCCTAGGAAAGTCAAACCCCCTCTGTTATGCATTCATCTTCACACCAAAAGCTTTGAGGGAAGGTACCAGCATATTAGAATGATGTGATTGCTGTAGTCTGCTTCAAAAATTTGTATCAGGTTTCATCAAATTACCTAGAAAATCCCCACCCCTCCAAAAAAGAAAAAAGAAAAAAAAATGATTAATAATAATAAAAACAATGATACATACTTTGTCTTTGGGTAAATTTGGTTAATTTTTTATTGTTGAATTTTTCTATCAATTACAATTTGTAAAAAAAACGATGATGAAGTCTGATGAATAGCAGTTACATCTATTTCACAATCCTCCCTCCGCTATACTCACTATAGTCTTGGAGTACAATACTGGATGTTATTGAATGATTGATTATTCCACTCTTGACCTTTGTGTAAACACAGCCAGAGTTGCCAAGTACAATTTCCAGACCGGCACACAAGCAGTTGCACAATCTGCATCAACAGGTAGTCTGGTTAATATCACATCCTTTGAAACGCTAGTTGCCGATCATATGCATCAAAATGATGAGGCATAGAGAAATTACAAGACATGCTTCCTAGCACAAAATAAGAAATAGAGCATATGCGCTACATTCATTTGAATTTCTTGTTATTAGAATATTCTATTTTCTTGTACATTGCAACTTGCATTAGAAATCAGAATGAAAATCAGAAAAAATCTAGACAGCACCCAGAAAAAATAGATATATAGATTGCAAAGAATTGTAGCATATTTTCACAATATTCTTTTTTCTTTGTCTTTTATACTCTTTCTTCATCATCAGTGGCTAAACTATCTCAGCTAAAATTGCATTCTAGCAATTAAGTAAATATCAGCTCCCGAATCCACACTTTTTTGTCTCTGTATACATGTAAAATGTATTAATAATAGTTCTTTAGTACAAATTTAGAATTTTCATAATTTTTTCATTTAAAAGATAAGGCATATCTAATGCTAGAAATATTGTCAATAACTAATTTTGCCAAATTATAGTTCGAGATGATTAGGGGTTACCCCGGTGTACTAGTCCATGCAGCCCCTGTTAACCTGCACTTACGGACAATTAGGTTCTTTGCAGCATATACCCAGGTTAACGTTTATTTTATTGTCATATTTATTCTATATAATTAGTAATAATATTAATATTGCTATTATTATTATTATTATTATTTTTTTTTTAATGAAAATTCGGTACAAAACCTTGGGAGGCAAGATAGCCACATAGTCGATTGACTATTGGCTAATAATTAATAATTAGCCTCTCCCTTAAATAAGATTAAACTACAGACCAACAACACAAAAAAAGAAAAAAAAAAACAAAAACATGAATAACACATCAAGATGATTAGTTTTCAAGGTGTTCAATAAAATTTTGTTAAAAAGTGGATATAGATTTTGAGTCTATCACTGATTGTGGTATACTGTTCCATAGTAAAATAATGGATGGATAAAATGATGATTTGAAAGACAGCATATGATTCTTTCCAAGATTTACATATAATTTTCAAAGCAAATTTTTGAACATATTTAAGTCTGTAAATAAGAATATCATAACAATTATTATTTATTTATTATTATTATTAATATTAGTTTTTATTGATTAATATATTTAAAAAATACATTTTCTTTACTGAATTCTTGATGCATTCTGTTTTCCTTTGTCTGTCTATGTACAGTGAAATTCCTTCAATTAAAGTTAATCTATTTTATTGGTAGGCCTTCTTGCACACTATAAGGCAAATAAGCAAGTGTACATTCACTATAAGCCAACCAGAATGTATGGCTTCAAGAATGTATATTTTCTTATGTGGTGTTGAATAACCTAGTGGTCAAGATGCTTACCTTCTAACCCCGGGGTTTGGCATTCAACTCCTGTGACAGCAGTGGAGACTCATTCAAAATCCTCTTATAGTTTTTTGGGATTATACGTTTTAATTGGAGGAATTTATACACTATTGTTGTGTCTATCCTGTTTTTAATGCTTTTTAATTATAAACTAGTTTAGCTAACACATTAATATTGCTTGCTTGTTGTGTGATAATGATTAATACCCATGCTAACTTATTTACTACTTTAATTCTTTTAAGAATTATAAATGATCTGAATAAAACATAATAAAATCATATAAACCTATATGTATTACTACATAATTTAGAAAAAAAAAATCAATCTGATTAAAAGATAATAATTGTAAGTCAATCTTGACATAATTTTAATTTATATTTTCCCAATAATAAATCTATATGCATTAATAGTTATTTACTTTAATGTATTTAGTAATTGATAATTAATTATATTAATTATTAATATGAAACATGAATATATTATATATCTAGATATATATACACATATACAAATATAGCTTATCAGTAATTACCCTGAAATTTATAATATGTAATGGAAGCAAATATATATAATATTTCAATTAATATATTTAGCATTAATTAAATTATGTAAATTAAACTGCTTCAAAATGATCAAGAATCAGCATAATTCTCTCATTTCATTAGCAGTCACCTTATATATCTGTTCTAATAGTTCTTATATAACAATCACAATCACTATTAACATTTACGCCTTTTTTATATGTTAAAATGATAGTAAAATTTTATGAATTGAGTTTATATGTAAACAAATTTCAAAATGTACCATTTTCATTTCTGATATGTAAATAAATTTTTGCATATTGGATAAAATAATGATAGTTTAATTGATAATTATTTGCATTAATATAATTGATAATTGCAATAATTGATAAATAAATGATAAGATATTGCTATAATAAACAATTGATTGCATGAAATGTGGTTGTTGTTGCTGCTACTGTGATTACTAACGTTTACTGATTTTTTTGTCCCAACAGGAGGCAGAAGTAAGTAATAAAACTACCCTGTTGTCAAATTTTAATATATTATTATGTTCAGACTATCACAATTTATTTGACAAAAAATGTGACATGCCTAAATATGGTGATAATGACATCACATCATGACCATATATAGGCACATCATGACCATATACCATAAAACCTCAAATTTAAGCCGTGGGCTTCTTTTCTTTTGCGAACTTTGGATGGGCTTCTTTTCGGGGCTACTTTTACAAAGTAAAGAGAAGGCTTCCTTTCCAAATGCTGTAAAGTTTGGGGATTTTACTATAAAATGAAACAATAAATAGAGCCACTTACCATTAATCTGTGTCATGGAGTGTAGGCCCAAAACCTGGGACCTAAATTTTCCTTTGAAATTCGTGTACAGTGAATGTATTGCACTCTCTTGAAAGTAAGTCCATGGTATTATTAAAAGAAGCCTGTGGGCTGCTTTTCAAGATTGCCTACTTTTTGGGGCTACTTTTGCAAACCAAAGAGAGGGCTTCAGTTTGAGATAGGCTTCTCAAGATCAGGCCCACTGGGCTTATATTTGAGGTTTTACAGTATAGACACATCATGACTATTTATAACAGTTTTTTGTCAAAGAAGATTGGATAGTGTGGATAAAGCTACAAAAAAGATAAATACAAAAAAAAAATAATACAACACAAGTAATAACAGATTTGAAAATATAAAGTATAAATATCAGTTTGAGGAAAACAAACTACCTTAATGTTTTTAACTTCAGAATCCCTTTGTACCTAATTGTTAGTGGATTATAAAATAAATTATTACTATATTAAATATGTTATATCATTTTGCAACACATAAGCAAAATTTTCTGACAACTTTAATGATTTATATTTTTATACTTTGATGATGTTAAATGTTATCCACAATTTTTTTTCACTAGATTGAACAAATTGTTTTCTGAATTCCAGTGTCATGAATTAAATTACTTAATGGTTAAATTGAGCAAATCAAACTTGTATGTAAAAATTATATTAGTATTTAAATATTTTCCATCTTTTTAGTAAATTCCTGCTGATAAATATTTTGAAGTAATGATAATGTTTGTGCTTTGTGTTCTCACCATTTGCTACTTTTAATATTTTGCTCATTTGAAGTTTGATGTGGCAATATTTTATTATATATTTTTTATTACACTATTTAATTCTTTTTATTATCATATTTTTGTCAATTTGTTAGAAATACAATTAGGTTTGAAATAATGTATTATACTGTTTTCCTCCTATATGAAAGAAAAATGGTTATATTTATTTAAAGTTTTTTTTTTTAATGCAAGTCTTACAGAAGGAAGTAGAATTGTTTTTCTTTCAATTCCTAGAAAAAAATTCCAAGACTGTTACGATACATTCTTTTCAACATGACATATTTCTCAAATGTTTTTCTTTTACGTCCGAGTTTGCTGAGTTGGTAAGTTCTCAGCTATTGATGGATATCTATGGGTTCTGTGCCGGTGAAGCACATAGAGAGAGAAATATGTTAACATCTCTTGAATCTCGCACATAGGTTCTTCTCGCAAGAAAGGCGGCTCATTCCAGACGGTGTCCGCCATGCACAGGGTACGGTGACTTTTGCATTCCGTAGTTAAGCTTGTCAGTTGTCTTGGCAACTATGCATCCTACTCTGAATACTATATTGCATGTGTTGACACTATTTTTTCTTCCCCGTCATGTCTATTTATAGGTGGTGGAGGAAAGCGTGAGAAAGCAATCAAGACCATTAGCGCGGGTCACAGGGTTGGCATGAATTTTATTGCCGCGTGATGAGTGCTCTTTCTCGACTCACAGACAGCACTCAAATTCCACCAATCATTAGAATTTGTTTATCTTGAAACGGTTTTTCCTTTGATAATTGTGTTCCCATTTTGGACATTTCAAAAATTCATTTTCCAAAATAAATTAATAACAATTGAAGTTGACAAAATCATGATTGTACTGTGGAATTATGGGTATTGTCTGTGAGTCTTTGTAATCGTCATCACAATATATTCCACATTCCCACAATGCATGCTGGATGGGAGGAATTCAGACTATTTCTTTTTCATGAATGCACAACATAATATACTAGTTAAAAAATTTAAGCATATATTACTTTAATTATTCATAGTTTATATTCTTAATTTTTGAGTATCAAATTTAGACACAAATTTGTTTAACTTGAAATCATATACTTTAACGTTAAGGCAAGTTTATCTAATGAATATTGATAAATAATCATGCATATTCAGTAGTTTTATACATTTTATATTCAAATTATCCTCTATTAGAATCGTTTTCAATTTATGTTGATTAATTAGGAAGATCATTAATTTGATTTGAGAAGCAAAACATATTTTATATGGGATTAAATTATTAAAATGGATACTATACTAATAAGCAATCAAAACATTTCATTGGCATTTTAAAAATATTGATTCTAAAATTTGTTTAAAAATTTGAAATGTTAAATCAATATTGAAAAAAAAAGGCATTTCTATTGACACAATCATAATAATATGAATAATAATATATCATTATTAATCTTACTACGTGCATTCATGCTCAGGAAATAGATCTATTTTGCTGTATTTAACTATTGTTAAGTGTTACAGTTGTAAAGTATTGTTATTAACTTTAATATTTATTCTAAATTTAATTGGGAGGGGGCACCGTATCCTATCAATTTTACTCGCGCGTAAATGAATGAGTGGATGTTTATCATGTGACATTTTTTTCAATCTGCATGAAACGAGAATCTTCCATGCACGTTCTTGTAGAGATTAAAATAAAACTTGGAGAAATTTTTCTTGATTTGCCCGGCAAAAACGCATGTAAAGAATGCAAGCCCTGAAACATAGCTAATAATAATACAGTTCCTTAAACTAAAAAAAATATATATTCTAAATATAGATAGTTTATTGGTGATTGATACGTTGATTTGTTAAAATTTGATTAATGTGGCTGAAAAAAATAATAATGAAAGAAACATAGGTTAGAGTTCCAAAATCTTGCAACAACCTTTTTCCTCAGATTAGTTTAATTGCAAACAATAAAAGCTGATAACTTTTGGAAAATTAAAAATATTTTAAAAGCATGTTGCCAGGATAATTTGCATGGTTCTGGACTAAATAATATAAATTACTATATATTTAAATGTTCATTTTACAGATGATATGTTGTTATATTTACATATCTGTGATTGAGTTATAAAATGTGAATTGTATTATATAAGATATCACAAAGTATTTGTAAGATACCACAAATCCACAAAAAAGCTGTTCTCTATCTTCTTGCATTACCTTAATTTGATTTAAAATTGTTTGAATATATATATATTTATTTATTTTTAAATAGGCTGTTAGTGTTTGAACCATAGAACTTAAGTCATTATTCAGAATTGTATCCTTAAACAAATTTAAAAAGAAGTTCTTTGTGAAATTCTACACATTGAACAATTAAATTTCCAACTCATATCAAAAAAACAAAAAAATTAATTACAAGAAATTGACTTTAAAATGATGTATTATGAAGGGATTAACTTCAGTCTGAAGTTAATTTTCTCATTAAATAGTTTTTTCCATAATATTCTGCTAATAGAAGCCTCTGCTAGCTATCCAATTATTTTGTATATAAAAATGTTATTTTTTGTCTATTTTTTTTTCTGTAATATTAAATACACACCATCTTTGTCTGCATTTTTTATTCACTTGATGTATTTTCTGTAGATTAGTAAATTCAAACCGTTGTCATTGTTTATGTCAAATACTTGTTTTTGAAGTCTGATATCTGTATTTTAGTGAATATTGTGACCATAGCCTTAATTTGTTTTGGTGATTTTAAGTTGTTTTGGAAATGCAAGATGATAGAAGCATGCTGTCACATTTTGCAAGATACTGATCAAAAACGTTTCAAAAGAAAAACAAAGTCGTGGCCTTTTATAAGCAAATTTATTATTTTTAAGTTGCAGACTATAACTTAATTACTTTAAAAAAAAAAAAAAAAAAGCATCGTTAAGTTTTTGGAAGGCACCTACAAGCTGCCATACATACTTGATGTTCCAAAAACCAAGAGTTGTGTATCGATACTTTTCAAGGTGGCTTTTTTATTATTCAGTACCCCTAGCACCATTTTTACTAGTGCTCTTAATTACATATGAAAGTTCCAAATGCAGCTAGTGTACACTAAAGTTTCTCTTTGTGATGAATATAAATTTTATTGCGTATAACGGCCTGTTTACACTATGACGATAGCAGTCAACGATAAAAAGCTTAAAAGCAATTGCTCATATTATAGAAAATAAGAAGAAATAAGTTTTCACACTAGCACGATTATTGGGTATACGATAAAAAAATAATTTCACCAATCAAATCAAATGATTTCATAATATTATGATTTTATTATCTATATGGACAGTTGCTTTAATAATACCTTTTTATCGTTGATCATTATCATCATAATGTCTTTATATACTACACTACAAATCTGTTTCTACTTGGCCACTTTCTGCATAGTTATCTAGCTTTATTAATCCACTACAGGAGGAAGGCCTCTTTATCGAATTTGCTGTTCTCCTGTTGTCTGCTCTGCTTTCTTCCATGTAATTTAATAAAAACTCCCTAATTTCATCCATCTTCTTTTCTGTCTGCCTCTTCTCCAGACCTGATTCTCTTGGCACCAAATCCACATTAATTTATTTGTCCGATATCTTTCATCTTTTCTTCTTGCTAGGTGGCCTGCCCATCTCCATTTTTTATTTCTTTTATTACTCTATTATTCTTACTCTGCATATGTTAGATTAATAATTTTTGTTAGTATTTATTACATAAACTAATAAATAATATTGTATTTTTCTGGTTGTATTCTGAATGTATATAAATTCTGAGCTGTTTCTCTTTCTACGGCGGCCATCTTGTTTAGTACCGATACATAACACCACATTGCCTTGTCGCATAGTTAGCCTACTAGTGTAAACGTCTATGAGGAATACAAAATTAAATTAATGAGTTTATCGAGGCATTTAAGTAATACATATCTGTATCTTGTTAATGTGGATTTAATTCACTATTTTCTATTACTGACATTGCTGTGAGTTTTTTACCTTATTAAATAATTTTTTTTAACGATTATAAATATAAAAGTAAATAGTATTCGGTCACAAAATATGTCTTTTCAAATTATCAACAATTGCTGTTAGTGCTGTGTAGATTAAAAGAAAAGAAAAAAATAGTTTTTAAAATGAATGTTTTGGAGGCCTGTTTGATTCTTCACTCTAACTCTGCTATTAATGTTGTTATAGGAACAATTGAACCGTCTGTTGAGTACACTGTTCAAGACTGCTCCTCACTTTGTCCGTTGCATCATTCCCAACGAGTTTAAGAAGCCAGGCCTTATGGACGCCCATCTTGTACTTCATCAGCTCGCCTGTAACGGTGTGCTTGAAGGCATCCGTATTTGTCGAAAGGGATTCCCCAACAGAATGCCCTTCCCTGACTTTAAACAAAGGTAGAAAAGCAGTTTACTTTGTGTGTGTGTGTGTATTTATACATGTATATATATAAATATATA